ATGCCTTCACTGTCTGGTAAAACCTGCTGATGATGCCTTCACTGTCTGGTAAAACCTACTGATGATGCCTTCACTGTCTATATTTTTAGAATATTTTCAGGTCATCCTTTTTCTTTCATGTTTTTTTAACCAATATGAAAAATAAACTGAACATCAGAGCTTCAAGTAAAACAAACATAAAAATCAGCATCTAAATCAAACAGATTTTATTTAGACACAAATATCCATTAGAGTTCTTTCCTAAATAAACATAAATATGTAAAATATGTTACATAAATAGATATTAAAAAGTCTGATATCCTCAATATTTTTATTTAGAATATTTATGTTTTTAACAAAGACAGTTAATGAGTTTAATGAGGATTTTGTCAAAGTTTGTGTCCTGAGTTTCTCAGGGTTCGTGTCTGGAGTTCCTCAGGGTTCGTGTCTGGAGTTCCTCAGGGTTCGTGTCTGGAGTTCCTCAGGGTTCGTGNGTTGTGAAGGGCTTTCTGTTCACCATGGAGATTATTCTGCCATCATCCACCACTGTTGTCTCCTGTGGACACCCAGTTCAGCAGTGCTTTCTTTTTCTCAGGATGTACCAAACTGTAGGTTTTACCACTCCTAATATTGTAACAAGTTCTCAGATGTTTTTTTCTGTTTTTACAGCTTAAGGATGTCTTGTTTCACCTGCATGGAGAGCTCCTTTGACCTCATGTTCACTTCACAGTAAAACTTTCCAAATACAAGCAGCACACCTCAGAACAACTCCAGACCTTTATCTGCTTCATTGAGGATGACATAATGAAGGGATTGACCACACCTGTCCATGAAATAGACTTGGAGTCAATGGTCCAATTCATTTAGGTCCCTTTAAAAACAGGGAGGCACATGTTAAGGAGCTGAAACTCCTGAAGCCTTCATCCAGTTTTAATGTGGAGAGCCTCAGATGAAAGCTGAATGTCTGCACTTTATGTCCATGGACATTATAGAAATATAACTTGAATACGTTTCAGTAAACAGGTAAAAAAAACAAAATTTTTGTTAGTGTCCAAATATATATGGACCTAACTGTAGTCGGACTCACCTCGACACACCGCTCTGGTTCTGGAACCAGTCTCCTCCAGAGGGGTTGGACCCTCCTCCACTCTGGAGTTGCCCATGCTGAGAGGCGCTGAGCAGGAGTGGGCATACTTATTGCCCCCCATCTTGGTGCCTGCACTTTGGGGTTCACCTCGGTGAATGAGAGGGTATCCTCCCTCCACCTACAGGTGGGGGATGGGTCCTGACTGTTGTTTGTGCCTATGAGCCTAACAGCAGCTCAGATTACCCACCCTTTCTGGAGTCCTTGGAGGTGGGTACTGGAGAGCGCTCCTAACAGGGACTCCCTCGTTCTGCTGGGGGACTTCAACGCTCACGTGGGTAATGACAGTGAGACCTGGAGAGGCGTGGTTGGGAGGACCCCCCCATCTGAACCCGAGTGGTGGTGTTTGAGAGGTGTTCTGGGCACATCCCACTGGTAGGAGGCCCAGAGGAAGACCCAGGACACTCTGGAGGGACTAACTGACCTGGTGCTCCAACAGGTAAAAGTGTAGGACAGGAATAGTTAATCACCCTTTCTGTTTCTCTCTAAACAACTCACTGCAGGGTCGATCCATGGTTTCTCTGCAATCAACAATGTCCAGTTAATGTCATATAGACACGTTCACTGTTCTTGCAGAAAGACCAATCAGCTCTGACCCCTCCTCTGACATCACAGACATTTAACCAATCAAATTCCCTTCACCTGGGTATGTAAAGTTAGGAGGTGGAGACTTTATAAAGTTTTGTTTTTCTAAACACATTTGAAGAGAGAAGATGTGTCAGAAAAGGACCTCTRCCTGTTAAAAGGTGTCTGAAAGCTTCAGAAACAAGAAGAGGGATCTTTTTCACGGGGAAATSTCTGAGAAAACACAAATTGTGATGCGTTGCCATTTTGGATTTCTGGATTAATTGCATCATGAAAGAGGACATATTATCCCCATTGTACCTTATATTCTTTAGTAAAATGGCCCTCTCTACATACCTTCGGACTCTTACACTGGTACACTTTCCTTTATAAATCTGTCCTTCAACTGGTTCCATCGTAATTATGTTATTTTTCATGCAAAAAACACCACCACAGCCTTCGTTCTCAGGACTTTATTACGTTCAGTGTTCCTTCAGTGCGTACTGAGCTTCTGGCCCCGACACCTGGAACAAGCTTCAGCAGGATCTGAAGCTCTCCTATTTGGTCACATTTCAGAAGATTTTAATCAACAGATTTGAAAATTTGTCCGTAAGCACCTGTACTTGTTGTCAATGAAAACCCTTTTCTTTGATGATGTATGGTATTGATTTTTAGAAGTAAATTGTATTATTATAGTTTTTATGTTACTTTGTTGTGGTGGATGTAACAGGTCTCTTATAAATGAGACAATGGGCCTCAAGAGATTTTCCTGTATGAATAAAGGGTAAATAAAAAAATATTCTTCAAAAGTAAGTAGAAAACCATTTATATCCTGCTGCTGCTGCTTTACGAGCTCTTTGCATGGAAATGTTTTTAAAAAAAGATTAATTTATTGTGGTGTTTTAGCCTGAATTATCAGTGGTTCAGTGTACAGTTGTGAATCATCTTGTTGATTTATTGATAACTGACTGTATATGAACCATGCTGATAGGAAATCTGGATTCCTGTAGTTATTTTCATTAATACACTGTCAGTAAAAATCTGTGTTGAAGCAGTTACAAGTTTCACTCTTTAGATGTTGTTTGTTGGGCATACTGGATACTTGCAAAAACACAATGACATGTTCAAATATTATGTCTCAAATTGTCATTTTTTACACAATTATTGTCAGGTGATTTGGTCAAAAGTTAGAGGGAGGTTTTATAAAACCTGAACTGGTTTTTCAGCCTGGTTTATCCCAACAGAACCAAACACAACAAATCTACTTAATATGAATCAGAAAACCTGCTGATGATGCCTTCACTGTCTGGTAAAACCTGCTGATGATGCCTTCACTGTCTGGTAAAACCTGCTGATGATGCCTTCACTGTCTGGTAAAACCTGCTGATGATGCCTTCACTGTCTGGTAAAACCTACTGATGATGCCTTCACTGTCTGGTAAAACCTACTGATGA